TCAATGATGTCAGCAATATACTGTATAACCCACCTGCTTTGAGTTCATTTACTCATCCCCTGGGGTGATATCATTTTGAAACCAGCTCATAGAGATCTACTGCACTGTACAGGGCTCAAGCTTAAAAGGAGAACTATGTGGTCAGTGCTTTTCACTCACCTCATAGTTCTAGCCCAGGGGTAGCCAAACTCCGGCCCTCCAGCTGTGGTGAAACTACAAATCCCATGATGCATCTCTCTCTGGGAGTCATGTCTGTGGCTGTGAGAATCTTGCAATCCCTCATGGGATTTGTAGTTCCACCACAGCTGGAGGGCCGGAGTTTGGCTATGCCTGTTCTAGCCGAACTGTGACAATGAGACTGTCACAGGTCGGCTCAGTAGATAGAGAGGTGAGCGAACACATACCGGCGTTCGCTCACCTCTCGATCCTGTCACAGCCCTCTGCAGTGACAGGGGAGGGGCTGGATTCCCCCCTCCCCGCTCCACCAGCGCTGACTGGCGGATCAGACGGGGGAGGGGCGGGTACAGCTGGTTCTGCCTCTAGATAGGCAGAGCCAGCTGTCACTCACGCAGCTGGGCAGATCTAGACATAATTGTCGGGATCCGCTTCAGCGTCTCAGTATACATGGGATACATGTATGTATGCATGGGAGATAGGGATCTTCGCTTGTAAGCTCCCGGAGGGCAGGGACTGATGTGAATAATAAATATAAATCACCCCAATCCTTGAATTTTTTTTAATCTAGTAAGTCTGACTAAATCTAATTATTCAGCTACCTATACTAAAATTACTTCTATAAAAAGGACCAGCTGCCTGGCTGCTAGGCTGACGTTTTGGCTTCTATACGTTTACTGACCAAAAACAAGTCAGATTAAAGTCAAACGCCCTTTATAAGCATTATTGTCTTAGATCAGAGACTCAAAATTAAAGAAACAAGAGAGTCAGTTTGACTACCAGGCCACTAGGATTTTCATAGTTGTCAGCAATGGCAGCAGGCACATAGCTCACATGACAGATTTATTAACATGTCATGAAACAGGAGCTACTCATTGGTTCACAATAATTTCCAGATTGTAATGGACCAAGCTTCTCCCTTTGCCCTTCAGCTTCCAAGATGATAGAAGGGCACAATAATAGCAATGCTCAAGAGTTGTGTGTGTCTTCTTCAGCACAAGTCCAGCATTTTTGGTCAGCAGTGCCAACTGATGCAGTGCATTTCAGAGGGTTACCTAGCCATAAAACTGTGACATCAAGTGTTACATTCCTTATTAAATAATGACTCCAATGATTGGGAAGGGAATTCCTTATAGTCGCCTATTGTGAAACATACTGCATTCTGGTAATTGTATGGGGATATTACCTGCTCTGATATAGTATTTGGTATATTCATTTTTTTTGGTTATTTATCAAGCCCTTTTTTTATATTTTTCCCCACATTTACCAGACTAAGTGGTCCACCATAAGTAATGGTTACAGGGGGACACACCATATAACAATGCTATACACTTTAAATCTTTTTTCCCAAATTGATAAAATAAACTGTTGCTGAAACAGTTTAAAAGTTTATTGAAGTCCTTCTAAGATCCCCCTCTCCAAAGGGTGACAACACTGCAGTGATTTCACTGGAAAATTAACAGCATTGCCACCTTGTTAAAGGAAGTATAAACCAATGGACTATATTACAGGGGGACTCAGAAAAATATATTTATTTTATAAGAGCAGGGGGAAAAGCTGTGGGTGTATTTTTTTTTCAAGAGTTCCGCTTTAATAATGAACAAACTACTCTGCTACTAGAACAGATTTGAAGTGGAATAGGATGAGAATAGATTTTCACTTATTTACACATAATAGAATAGACATCATACAGTCCCTGGGTAATAATGAAGTCCAATCAACACAAAACATGTTACAAAATGACAATAGATCTTTATTTTGAATGTTAGAAATAATATCTAGGTCAGCTTTAGTTACAATCTTTCTTTCATAACATCATTTCAGGTTAAGGTGTTGTTCCACCAAAATCTAATACCTTTGATAGACATCAGTGAGTGGAATTGCTCATTGGCCTCTCTTTCTTTCCCTTAGGGGAACCGTTTGTGAAATTTCCCTTCCTGAGTTTGTTCCCCATCCCCAAATTTGAGACCTCAAACCTCGCGCTCCCCAAGATGTAGTGTCACTCTCCCTGTTGCATTCACCATAACACAAAGGAAAAATCCAGCAAGGAGAGCAATGATGGCACCACATAGGTGGACCCGGGAACTCAGGTACAGATATCTCACCAAGAGTACCTATAGGAAACCAATGGCTCATTTAACAAATCAGCATCTATCAAGAACCAAAATAGAGATTGTATGTGGATTACCCCTTGAAGATCCCTTCAGACATATGCCACAGTGCAGTTACCAAGCTCCAATGTATCAACAGTCATAAATCCCTTCACCACTGTTCTACCAAACTGTGATCATGTACATAAATATGCGTGGATATGAAGAATGCACAAAAGTAGAGCAAGCTGTTTTATGTCATCTTGATTTTTAGAGATGCCAAATAAGTAAAGCCTTTGCGCACAGGCATGTTGGATAAGTCTAAGCAGAAGTATCGGCCCACATGATGGTAACACAAGATGAATATGCTGTAAAACACACTTCTACATGTTTTTACAGCATTTTTTATTTATGGTACATACACAATACAGGTCCAAGGTTCCCAACTTTTCCGTCATGACAAAGTCAATACTCTTAAGCTGGCCATTATCTGTATGAATTTTGGCCAGTTCTTGATGAACATGCTGACATTCATTCAGGGTAGGAGGCCTCTCAGCACCCTTCTGCCTAGCATCCTTTGAGCAGAATATAAAAAGGAGCCAGTTGGAAATGTTTCAGGTAAATGGTGACAGCACTGTTTGGGAATTCTGACAGCGGCACACTGACACTGGCATGCTGTCAGAACAAAATATCCCACCAGGAGATGAATCCATCCATGCTGTTCACCTTGGATGGAGGAGTCTGTTATAGATTTTTAATGTAGCCCGCAGGTTGAACTAAAGAAATATAACCGTGCATGGCCAGCTTAAGGTAGGGAAACAAAGGAACCTGAATACAGAATCGTGTTATATATGTAAAGAAGTTTCATGTGTTCATTTTGCTCAGTGAAAAAAAGAAAAGTCCAAATTAGGTTGATTCCTTTGGGATTTGTGTAGAGTTATCTACAGTTAGAGACAGTTGTCTAAGGAAAGTTCACATAAAGCTTTTAATATCTGTAGAAGTCCTTTACAACAGTATTATTGGAGCATTTCCACACTGCAAACAACAAATAGTTTAATAGCTTGTTCATCAGCAATAGAAGAATATATGTAAGAAATATGTTGACAGTTTATTATTTTACAGTCCTGTAGGAAAATCCTGGAATTCTGTTATAGTGTTGTTGTCACAGCGAAGAAGGAATGTCTAGATGGACAGGTGGACACAAGGCACCTGCACTGCAGCATGTCTGTCTACATTTGTAAGACTTTTTCCCCACAAAGAATGGCATTAAAAAGCCATCGCATAACTCTACATTTTTAATTCCTTTGATTAAACCCAATTAAGGCATTGCATGTAACACATGAGAAAACATAACGGATGTGTACAGGAAATACAAGCAATGGGAATATACTTTGCTGAAAAACATGTATTTTGTTCCACATACAATGTAGCAAAGTGCTAGACTTCATGTAAAGAATGCAAAAATCACCATTCCCCCTCTCATTCTGAAGTTGAGCGATAGTCCCCTATGTTTGAATTCAATTTATTGTTCAAATATTAAATCACTCCAACTAATGTTAATATCAAAATAAGTAAGAAAGAAGGGTGTAAACAAAAGGAAGACTAATAAATTAAGAAAGCACTAAAAATAGATTTGTCTTTATCCCTCCCACCTGTTGTAACATTTACTAGCAAACTGGAAAAACAAGCATTGACAGCGGATTGAAAAATCGATTGTGTTGGATTATGACGATATTAGGTCATAGAACTTCTAAATCAATGCGTATTACTCCTGACTAGAGGAAACCCACACATAGTTCTAACAATTGAACAAATGCTACTACAAAAAAAAAAAAAAAAGGAACAAAATTGCCAAAGCAATTGCTTTTAAAAGTGAATCCCACCCAAATCTGAATGGTATTTAACATCTTTCCAGGAAACAAATTAAGATGCACCTATTCATGAAAACATTATTTGGTCTTTGTGACTGCACTAAATATTTGAAAGTTGCCCTCCCAATCTGATACTCACCTGTCCCCTTATATCAAGATATTACCCACAAAGTTGCAGAGGCAAAATCTTGGGCTCCACATGTATAGTATACTCTCCATTCAACTTTATGTATAGTCTGTACACCTTCGGAGCAAGGAGTATGAACTCTTCATAGGACTGAATGGAAAATGCGGCTCAGCTGATTATAACAAGCAGCTCTGCAGCTTTGTTAGTGATCTCCTGCTGGATTGGGGACAGTAGAGTAAAATATAGGAGGAGAAGGGGGGTGTAGGGTGTTGACACGGGGAAGTTTACATTTTAAAGAACTCCGGGCATTTGAAAAAAGACTTAACCTTGCCGTCTGCAAGAGTGAAGCGCTTATTTTTTCTAGGGTGGACAAATAAGACAGATATACCCACTTGATCCACGGTCCAGCACCTCTTCCCCCTCCGCTTCAGATGTGGAATGTTCCTCAGCACCCTCATGTCTAAAGCAAGTCAACAGACCTGCATTAGATGTGATGACGTCAGTGGTCCCTAGACCATCCGAGCCCAGGGGAGAAGAGAGTCTGCAGGTCTAGCAGCCTGGCAGGACCGACCGAGGATCAGATAACTATATAGGCATTATTTGACCTCACTAGACAAAAGGAGCACTTAACCCTTGCAGTGCGGGGTAGCCCCACGCTAAGGGCGAGTTTTGTAGATTCTTAGAGTTCTTTATTTAAACCACTTAAACTAATGTATAGCACTGTCTGCAATATTCAGTTGAATGGCTAAATTTTCAAATATATAAGGTAATACCTGATCAGTTTTCATAATGAGTGTAATGGTGAAGCCATCCTGGAAATAAATAAGTATGAATATTTTTTCAGAGGATCAGAAGATCACAATTTTTTGAAGAAAGGCTAAATGTAATAGAAAAGAGTTTCATCTTATTCAAGCAGCACATTGCATAATGTGAAAATCCTGAGTTGAAGTTATTCATCATTGTCTATAGAAAACAGAAGAAAAAAAAGACATGTTAGCATACTTGTCAGGCAAATAGATGTCATAATGGTAAAAAAAAGATTCTGGCTTTCCCTGGCTGTAAAACGTTCCTTGGTATAAATTCAAATTTTGTAATTTTCATATAGCAGATCAGTGGAACACATGAAACTTAAGTCTGCTTATTGTCTAGCTTCCCTCCACCTCCCAAAATAAAAAAATAAAAAAAAACGTGAATTTAGAATGTTACAGTAATTAAACATTTGACAAAAAAACCCTTACACCGTGGCTTCTGGCAGGCTCCCCTAAACAAGGGTGACATTACTGGGGACTTTTCCCAGGATCCCTTCAACAGGCCACGTCATGTGAAAATATGAGCGTGCTGGAAAGCAGGGTGTAAGGTAAGGGCTAGGCAGTAAGGGGACCTTTCATTTTCATGCAAATTGCGCTTACAGTACATGTACTATGTCATTAGCCTTCTCCTAACTTTTCATCATGTATAAGGGCTAGAAACAGATGCATCCATATAACTGAAGTAGTATATGCAAAACATCCTTCATCTAACAGAAAAGCCGTACATTTAGGTATGACATGGGTAGAGCATATAGTGCACAGTAAAAAGATCGGAAATGAAAGAGATTTTTAACTAAATAAAACCAACATTCAATGCAGATCGCTACTAGAAATTTGCCAATAATTAAGTAGATGGGATCTTTCACACAGGGTCTGAGGCAGTTCAGTGACATATGGCTGGATAAAATGCTGCTGATGAATTTCAGCAATCAGGGCAAAGAAGTCTAGAGTGCTAGCTGGATAGAAATGGCAAATAAAATATTCATATGCAAAATTTCAAGTTTACCTGAATAATAAAAAAATAAAAAATTCTAAAAAAGTGTTTTTTTGTTGTTAAAGAATAGTAAAACATAGTAAAGAAAGTATTATTAAGAACACTATACATTCTCTCTAAAGTTGGGTATACACGGTTCTGGTTTTTTTCATTCAACGTGTGAGCTGAATGAAAAGAATAGAATAGATTCCTTCATCCACCCTGAAGAGAGTGGATGGACGTATCCATGCTGTTTCTATTGTCTTCTGTCAGTGGCGCCGCCAAAGATTTTCCAACATGTTCCTTTGGCAAAAGTCAATCCAAAGAGCCACTTCTGCCGATGAAATAGGGTCACCAATGCAACGAATTTCGGCCGATTCCTGCTGAATTGGCCAAAATTCCCTTTGTGTGTTCCCTACTTAAGTCTGTTCAAATGCCAAATGCAGTTTACTTTCTGAGGTAATTAAAAAAAAAATCTTTATTCATTACACTCTAGCACATAAAAGTTGTAAATTGTGAAAAAACATTGTATGCGAAATTAGAGATATAATACCTAGATTCATATAGCATCAAACTCTAACAATATATATATATATATTAGAATAGAAAAAAGTAAAACAATAGGTGGTATCCTGGCCAGGGATTCCACTGGGTCTCGGCAGAGATGAAATAAATACATTTAGGCCGATTGGAGCAGCTTCCAATAAAAACTGAACAAACAAGAAACCAATCATTAGAACTGGGGAGAAAAAATGGGGGGCGGAAATAATGGAATAAAAAAAGAAAAAGGCAAAACCCCACCCAGGTGGTGTCGTATTCATCCTCCTAAGAAATGGGGCAAGTAATGGAGAAGAAGAAGGATAAAGACAAGAAAAAAAAAAAAGGGTTGGGGGCGGGGGCTGTCGTTAGTTGGGTGGAGAGGGACTTAAGATACAGTCACAATATTATCACTATTTTCATTAAATGATTATTCTTTGGCAGTATATTTTCCAACCATGTGTCACACAGTTCAAGAATCATTCACAGAAACAGCTACAGACAATGGGTGGCTAATTTGTACCTGTTTGTGTGAAACTGTATTCCACACAGACTTACTACATTATCATTATACAAAATATTCTAAAACTCAATAGTAATGTTTATTTATTTAAAAAAAAAAAAAAGGCACTAACCGTCTTGGTAGACACCATCAGCCATAACCAAGTGGAGGATTCTGCGATATAAATACAGGTGTTCACTGCCCAGAATTGTCTCCACAACTGTTGAACATGTATCAATATTTTCGTCTTCATCCTCATGTATGGCCTAAAAAAATTAACCAACCAGAGTTGGAAAAATGATTAAATATTGTCGATATATTTCGAATGCAATTCTAGGCCAAGTACATACGCATGGTATGTCTGGCTGTGAGTCACACCATGGATCCAGTGTCATTCACATATAGGTGTAATAGACCTCTCCACACACTGAGCTGTAGATTGCATACCACAGGCAGACCTATCCTGTAATTTTGCAATATGTTACAAACTCCACACTTGTGCCGTCTGAACACTGAGCTCTAGGTTTATTCATGTCGCTAATCATCACTGTATTATCATATTAAAGTGACACTAAACTCAGGAGTTAAACATTAAAAGTACTATACCTCATGTATTTGCACCCGGCTGTAAATCCTCAAATCATCTCTGAATTGGTGCCGACACTGCCCTTCCATCTGGAGGGTGGTTACTTCTGGTCCTCATGGTCCTGGTGTGTGTTGTAAAGTAGTCACCACTCCAAGCTCACTCATAATTTCAATACAAATAAGTTAAACATGAGATTGTAGTCAATCAGAGGAGCAAGCTTGGGCTGCCAACACGAATTCAGAGATGATTTGAGGATCTACAGCTGAGTGATGCACAAATGTGATACATTTATGTTAACAGGCAAGATACTTGAATGCATTTTTAAGTATAAACTCTTGAGTTTAGCATCATTTTAACTGAACGTTCATACAAAATTGGACTTTCAAATTCCATCCCATTTAAGTTCCGGGCACTCTTTTGCTACCAGTGATTATTCTGTCTACAAGGCTGGGAATAGTGGACAAGCCCTATAAGCTGTACTATATGGTCTACAAAGGCCTGTAATAATAAACAGGTTCTACTGTATCATCGACAAGCCATGAAATAGCAAACCAGCTCTATGAGCTACACTTTACTGTCTACAGACCTGTAAAATGGAACAAGTTTTATGACCTGTACTATATGGTCTACAAAACCTGTTAAAATAAACATGTTCCATGAGCTATGCTACTGTATATGATATGGTCCACAAGGCATGTCATAAAATGCATTAATTAAGTGGTTTATCCAAGTAGCCAAGCAAACCAACATTGATGGGATAAGGACAACAGATAAAGTCACTGATTTTATGACTTGCACATGTCAAAAATAATGCTTCTGATCCTTGTGTTAAGGTATGTTAGGCAGGCTTTAGTTAAGCCCATCAAATGCCTCATTTGAGTTAAGTTTCATTGGTATATTATCATTGTCTACACTGCAATTGTGAACCAACCAAGTAAAATGACTTAAATACTGCTATAGATTAATATGCATTTTATAAAGTAGTATAGATAAACCAAAATATACCTTTATTTTATCGTAAACTTCAATAAACTTGTCAAAGCCAAGCTCTTGCTCCAATTTAAATCTCAGTTCCTCCAGATGACCAAAGACACTGTCACCATCATCACAGTCACTCCCAAACTCCAGGCTGCTGTCATCTGCAAAGACAATGAAGAATGCTTTACTACAGTGAGAACTGAATCTGCTTTCATTTACTTCATTTTCAACAAACAATGAAGGGAATGCCGTTGGTTACGCACAGCTCAGCTTTCCTTATGTACTGTATTTATGTTCAAACTAAAATAAATGTAATAAAGTCCCCAAGGAAAATCACTGGGATCTCTTGCAGAATAAAAGCTTGGGTGGAATATTTCATCACATAAGGGTTTCTATTTATGGCTGCCACTATCCCAAACATGCATTTACCTGATTGCCACTCCTCATTTATAACACTCCCACTGCTTGGCTGATTCTCCTCATCTTCTGCTTCAGCCTCCTGTGCTGCCTCGTTATTCTCCTCCTCCTCCTCTTCTTCTCCCTCCATCTTACTAGGTAGCAGTGCATCTCCAACCTCTTCAGCTCCACAATCCTCTTCATGGGAATCCTCTCTTAATAACTGTTCCATTGATGCCTGCAGCTCCTGTAAGTCTCTGTCTGTTTCCCCAAACATCCTGGAAAGAAAATTAAAACAGAATTTCTGGACCTATTCACAAGTGGAAAGTCATGCTGTCACAAGTGGAAAGTATGTTCTGTTGTCTTCAGTCTTTAAAGTCAATTTTGGAAACAATGCACAGGAGGAGTTTACAAATGTGTTTTAAAAATTCTTATTTTAAATTACATATCAGGCATTTAAGTAATTACAATCAAGTAACACGGGAACATTGATAGCATGGTGTACAGTGTACTTTTGGGGGTGACGGGGGATGAATAACCCAACAGCTTTTCATATCCGTCCTGGAGAAGGCAGGATATCTGTGATGTACAGTACTTTTAGAGGGGGCAGGGGGATGAATAGCACAACAGCGTTGCTTATCTGTCCAGGAGAAGAAGTGCAGGATATCAGTATTTTTAGGGGTGGCAGGGGGATGAATAACCCAAAATATTCTCATATCTGTCCAGGAGAAGAAGTGCAGGATACTCCTGATTTACAGTACTTTATTTTCTTACTGACTCTGCTGCAGCATACAGCCCAGTAAAACCACCACTTTCCCCACTGTAGTCTCTGTGGGTGATAGGTTCAAAGTGTTATTATGCAGGCACTCAGACATTTCTTTGGTGCCAGGACGTAATGCATTATTTTTACCTGAATGCATAATGCTGTTATGGTACATCCTCCAAGAAGAGTGTGATAATCATATAACAATAAATAGTACATGTGATAGTGAAGTAATGACTACACCATAACAAATGCAACATTAACTTTCTACATACTTCTCTAGAACTTGGAGCCCAACTCCAGGCAATTGTCCTTTTTAGTTTTGGATAGAGTGGAAAAGCGTTACATTTGTGTCAATTATTTTTATTTTTGCCTGCCACCTATTAGGAAGAACTTCCCTCACTTGCGGTCACTGTGACCGCAGAAAAAGAAACGGGGGGAGTCGTTGTTATTGGGACAAGAAGGCACAGACAGCAAATAAATCATCATCAGAGGTTTCACCTATCCCCATTATCTGCCTCCCCATTGAAGAGATTGCCCATCTGCCCCTGTCCTAACATAGGGCCAAAAGACAACAATAAAGAACTGGCATAGGCTCTAATTTTGTCTCACTTTGTCCAAAATAAAATGTTTTGACTGGAGTCAGGCTTTAAGATCCTAGAGCTTTGAAATGAAAACAAGGGAGAAGAAAACAAGTTACTGTATTAAATGTTCAATCTCCAAGGATAACATTTCCATCCACCCTGGGATAAATAAACAGTTTTACTTACGTGTCTTCAGAATCTGAATGATCTGCATCCTGTGCTGGTTCATCCTCAATGTCTTCTATCTCCAGTTGCTCATCACCCTGCAATTCAGCCACGCTTGGAACATCCACCAAGGTCTTGAACAGTTTAGAAAGATCGGGCAGTGAGCAAGTCCTCAGCATCTGCAAATAAAATTAACATATCTCAAGTTGTGCTTTGCATTATAAAAGGGACCATAAAAAGTGTTCATGTGTCCAGGCTTTATAAAAACTTGCATGCAGATTGCAGCATTAGATTATGACATCCCCCCTTAGTCTGCACAGCACCACCAAGTGGTTACAAAGAATGACAACATTTGATTTCTAAAGGGAAAAAAAAAAAAAGAACTAAAATAAAATTGTTTAAGTAGAAAAAAAGAAGAAGATCTAACATGTTAATACAACCTTGAAAACAAGTCCTCAACTCCTAATTTCACTAATCATGGTCCGAGAATTAACGTTCCTCCTGTTCTGCTATCTGCTGATGAAACTTGGTACTGTGGTCCAATCCACTGATGCTTGGTAATCGTTAACTTTTCTGTGGTACTAGCGTTTCGTATCATGTGTACACTCCATGTCTGACACAAAGCCAGGTCCATATAGACATGGTTTGACACGTTTGGTGTGGAGGAACTTGACTGACCTACACTGAGCCCTGACCTCAACCCTACTGAAAACCTTTGTGATTAATGTGACAGTCAGGTCTTCCCATCCAACATCGGCACCTGACTTTACAAATGCTATTTGGGCTGAATGGGCACAAATTACCACAGACACTGTCCTAAATTTTGCCTCTTCAAAATTGTGGAGGCTTTTTATCTGCAAAGGTGGC